TCTGCTGTGTATTAGGTGTGTCTGCTGTGTATCAGGGAGTCGGATGTGTATTAGGTGAGTGTGCTGCGTATCAGGTGCGTTTGCTGTGTATCAGGTGAGTCTGCTATGTATTAGGTGAGTGTTGTGTATCAGGTGCGTCTGTTGTGTATCAGGTGGGTTTGCTGTGTATCAGGTGAAAGTGTATTTACCCAAAGATCGTGCCGGGGTTAGAGGTAGGAGGGCGATTTTTTTTTTTTTCAAAAATTTGATACATTTGCAGTGTGTTGCTGCTCTATTATGTATGATAGTTACACGGTGGAATAGCCATGTTTCCCCTGTCAAATTCCATCACACAAGTCACATGTAGTGTTAAAAATCTGTCAGCCGGAGCTGAGACCTCAGTAGGGCATTTAGGAAATGGAGTTAGATTTCTAGAGATTTCTTCCCTAGGCTGTTTGAGTATTTTCTTTCCCTGCATATGCGCACATATATATATATCTAAGTTTATCCTTTAATGACTTGTTTCTTTGTGTGTGTCAGCGCCGGAGACGTGTCCCAGCAACAGTAAATGCAACAAGAAAAAGGGTGTCTGTGTCTCTGACCGTAACGACTGCAACGGTATCGTGAAGAAGGGCAGGGAATTGTGTGGTAGCAGTAGCTGTGTGTGCTGCAAATCCAAAGGTAAGTCTGTGACTGTACCGTGAAGAATGGCTTGTGGTAGCAGTACCTGTGTACCGTTGAAGACTCTCCGAAGGTGAGTCTTTAACGGTACCGTTTCATAATAGAGGCAATCCAGGGTAGAGTGGATGTTTTGCCCTGAGTATCTGGGATGAATTTTCAAATTATCTACGGGGACGATTGCCCTCGTCGTTTACTGTTCGCTGGGCAGTTAATTGGTCAGAGCGTGAAACATCAGTGCTTTGTATGCCGCTCTCTAGATTTCTACGGCTTGGGAAAACCCGGTTGCTGACTTAGTATGGGTTTCTGGCTATGCCAAGGTTTTGGCATGGGGTTCACCAGACCTTAATGGAAACTTTTTGTTCCGGTTTCTACAGTATTATTGAGGGTAACTTGTGCTCCCATCCCCAAAAACTGAAGCTGGGCTCAACATGGCGTAAGCTGTAACAGCATTCAAAACACCCCAATAAAGAAAGAGGGAAATGTATTTGCAGGTGCAAATAAGTCTCCCTCTCTTTGATCTTGAGCATCGGTGGCATTCCCCACTCTTAATAATAATATCTTTATTACTACAGGTACATGTACAAAGTATACAGATCATAGCTGACATCAATGACATACTACTATATAGAAAACCGCTTGTTAGTTAGTTAGTTTAATATGTTTATTATGCACCCCATACCCATCCTGTGGGCGGTAGTCAAAAGATTACAGAGGTACATAATTGGTCCAGGGACTGGACTCCAAAGTTTTGACAGCTGAGCAAGTTACAGAGGTAATGAACTCACAATTTACAAAGGTAATGAACTCACAATTTACAAAGGTAATGAACTCACAATTTACAAAGGTAATGAACTCCAGGTAAGTCTGGTCACAATCATGACAAGTTACAAAGGTATTTACAGATTACAGAGGTACGTAATGGGTCCAGGGACTGGGCCCCAAAAGTTTTGATAGCTGAACTAGGTACAAAGGTAATGAGCTCACAAGTTACAAAGGTAATGAATTCTGTAGAATGGTTACTTACGTTTATACTTTGGCTACAATCATGAACAAATTATAGAGTAATGAGCAATTCACACTTCCACACCCGGTCACAACTGTAATGAGTTATTGGTGCAAATATTGATTGTTGAGTCACACACACCACACACACACACACACACACACACACACACACACACACACACACACACACACACACACACACACACACACACACACACACACACACACACACTTTAGTTTAATATCTTTATGCACCCCATACCCATCCTGTGGGCGGTAGTCAAAAGATTACAAAGGTACATAATGGGTCCAGTGACTGGACCCCAAAGTTATGATAGCTGAACTAGTCACAAAGGTAATGAACTCCAGGTAGATCTGGTCACTAATCATGGCAAGTTACAGAGGTAATGAATCAGCTTCACTCCTATACATGGTTACAGTCATGAACAAATTACAAAGTAATGAACCACTGATACGTCCACACCTGGTCACAATTGTAATGAGTTATAAATACAAATATTAAGTGGATCATACACCCACACTAGTGCGCGCGCGCACATAACTTTATCCCAGAATGCGACCCACACCAGTCCATTAACACCCAGGTGCCCATTTTACGGATAGGTGAACATAAACAGCAGGTGTCTTAAGGAACACGTCCTAATATTCCCAGCCGTACAGGGGGATCAGGTGGCCCGGTGGCCTGGTGGCTAAAGCTCCCGCTTCACACACGGAGGGCCCGGGTTCGATTCCCGGCGGGTGGAAACATTCCGACACGTTTCCTTACACCTGTTGTCCTGTTCACCTAGCAGCAAATAGGTACCTGGGTGTTAGTCGACTGGTGTGGGTCGCATCCTGGGGGACAAGATTAAGAACCCCAATGGAAATAAGTTAGACAGTCCTCGATGACGCACTGACTTTCTTGGGTTATCCTGGGTGGCTAACCCTCCGGGGTTAAAAATCCGAACGAAATCTTATCTTATCTTATCAGTCCCTGGCCCGCTGGGTCATTTGTCCTTATATTACTATGTATAAGCTCAAAGTGATAACCCAAATTGTCATTTCAAGTTTTGCCCGAAATACTATGCATCCGATGGGCTTTCTGATTGGTATGTACTTCATAAAGCGATGATTATAAATAAAGAATCTCAATTTCTTTTGGTGTGCCAAACATCAGCAACTTTTTCAGGTGTTCGAATTTCAAAGCCTTGGAGATAGCCTGGCACAGCTTCCACCCGACTTAATTTTGAATTTTTTTACTGGGGTGCACAATAAACTAGCCACTTCGGTGGCAAAATCTAAAAAATCTATTCCCAAGTATAGTTGGCTCGTGGCTGAACGCTGGACATATTTCCTACACTTGTTGCCCATGTTCACCTGGACGGTGTTAGTTGACGGTTGTGGGTTGAAATTCCCTTGAGTCCTGTGGGAAATTATTAAAGAATCCGGTGGAAAAATAAAGCCAGACAGACTGATAAGTAAGTTAGTTTAGGTACAGGTCCATGTAATTACAATTATCGTACATAGTAACATGTGTAAATTACCTGGGACAACCTTCCCTCCCCCTCCCCAAATAAAGTCAAGACAAAGTGACTTATGAAAATTTTTATTGGGGTCGTTGATGACTGTAGTGGAGTATTCTGAGTTACAAACCTTCCTGGCTAATAATTCTAACACAATCTTATGCTATGTTAATTGAACTCCTGCTCTCTTCCCTATTCCCGTCCTCCCCTCAAGGAAGGTTCCTTGATGTTGGTGAGGGGCTCTTGATTTAGGGAATTGGATCTGTGCTCCAGTTCCCTGAATTAAGCCTGAATGCCTTCCACATCCCCCCCCCAGGCGCTGTATAATCCGGGTTTAGCGCTTCCCCTTGATTATAATAATTTGCTGTACTTCCAAACATCCAACGACAACAAAGAAAAACTAAGTTTATTCAGGTACAGGTACACATAAATAGTTACACAGATTATCATACATAGTAACATGTGTAAATTACCTAGGATACACTTGGGGTCCTGTAAGAAGAAACCTCTGTATGGTATAATCTGTCATTGGCCCTAAAAACTCCATGAAAGAGAAGGGGAAGAAGAAATTTCTAAGCAAACTACAAGTAGCCTGAAGAAGCTTATATGGTGATATTGTACTGGAAGAATGGTCTGGCTCTGCTGGTGTTGAGGTCTGGGCTCTACCTGAACTAACAACTGTGCTGACCTTGGTTTTCTTTTTCTCTTATTGTATTCCCGGGATACGGCAAAACTTAGTTATATACCACCTAGGGAAATAGGTAATAAGGTTTGCTCCAAAAAATGAGGGTTTAGCTCTAATTCCCTAGATCAAGAGATCTTCACCAACACCAAGGCACCTCCACTGAAGGGTGTAATGATGGTAACCATATCTAAAGATATATAGCTCTCTCAGAGAAAATGTTGATGGGGAAATGTTTTTACATCCTGTAAGAATATTTTATTTTGTGTTCTATATTTGGTAATCTCTCATCATAGGTTATGTTTCTTTTGTTGTGACATATTCTCGTTTGTAAGCAGCTCTGCAATCAATTTTTTTTGTACATTCTCAGTTCTCTTTCAGTGGCTGATCTGTTAGGCTTTCTCAGCAGAACATACTTCTTTATACAAACCCCAATGGAAATAAATGACTCTTTTTGGGGTTATCCTAGGTAATTTACACATATGTTACTATGTATGTTAATAATCAAAACTGTAATTCTTCTCTACCAGACTTATTAAAGCCATATAGCATGAACTAATAGACTAGTTAATTTTATTGTATTCATTTTAACTCCCCTAATGACCACATGTATCAATTATTGCATAAGTTAGTCTAAGTTTGCTCAAAATGCTCTGCATATAAAGGGGCTTTTGGCATGTACACCCAATTGTTATACCACTTTGTACAAACATATATCATGCTGAAATAAGATTATTATTATTATTATGATAATTTGTGTAACTATGTATTTATGTGTACTGTACCTAAATAAACTTACTTACTGATATTCAGCTTTTCCATACACAGAAAGGGAGGAGAGTGATTTCTCGTATAGTTAACATTCACGTACTTATTATTGTAAGCTGATCCTCTTGTTAATGTTAATTTAAATAACTCACTTTACCTTATTCCAAGTATATATATCTTTTTATTGTAACTGATTTTTCCACAGTTAAGTAACTTAGGCATAAATAATAAGATGATATAAGGACCCCAGTGGAAATAAGTCACTTTGTCTAATATTTTTGAGTTATGTTTACCAGGAGTTTACCTGGAGAGGGTTTCGGGGGTCAACGCCCCCGCGACCCAGTCTGAGACCAGGCCTCATGGTGGATCAGGGTCTGATCAACCAGGCTGTTACTGCTGGCCGCACGCAAGCAGACATACGAACCACAGCCCAGTTGGTCAGGTACTGACTTTAGGTGCCTGTCCAGTGCCTTCTTGAAGACACCCAGGGGTCTATTGGTAATCACCCTTATGTATGCTGGGAGGCAATTGAACAGTCTTGGGCCCCGGACACTTATTGTGTTGTCTCTCAGTGTACTCGTGGCACCCCTGCTTTTCATCGGGAAATGTTGCATCTCCTGCTGAGTCTTTTGCTTTCATATGGAGTGATTTTCGTGTGCAGGACCTTCCGAGTGTATATTATCATGTATCTCTCTCTCGCCTTCGTTCGAGGGAATACAGATCAAGGACCTTCAACCGTTCCCAGTAGTTTAGGTGCCTTATCGCACTTATGTGTGCCGTGAAAGTTCTTTGTACACTCACCAGGTCTGCAATGTCACCAGCCTTGAAGGGGGTTGTTATTGTACAGCAGTATTCCAGCCTAGAGAGCACAAGCGATTTGAAGAGAATCATCAAATTTTGTATTTAAACAAACTTACTCTCTGATACCAATTCATTCTCTCGTTGTTGAAATTAAACTTGCTGAGCAACCCTTTGCATTGGCTTTTATCTTGGAATTTCTGTGACTCTCTCTGTGCTTGTCAATACTTCAATGAGTTTTTGGTTTAGATATTCAATACTGTTAAATGCCCAAATAGTTCTTCAGTGTTTGTGAGCATCAGGTCTAATATGTTTGCATTACTGGTGGGGGTCTGTTATATGTTAGGTCAAAACAAACTTTTCACAGAGCCCCAGTAACTCTGGTATGTGTGTGCTTGGTTAATATGCTTTCAGACACTACATCTGATGCAATGCTGTTGTCAACCATCTTCCATTTAACATGTAGCAGCTCAAAATCTTCAGGGCAAATAATATTTGCTGTAGGGTTTCCGAGGCAGTTTTCTATCTTCCAATAGCCATTGTAATCACTAATGTAAAAAAACAATAACTTGTAAAAAAAAATTTCAAATCATTTGTACTTTCTAAAACTGTAATTATTTCTTGAACAGTACTTTTAACTAACACTGTTGCAGGCAGTCAAGCTTGTAGATCTATCAGTGAACATAAAACATTTCAGTCATGAATCCTTATCTTCAGTGCACAATTCCATGAATCCAATATAGGATTATAGAGTACAATATATGCATTCAAGAATCCCTAATACCTATACATGAATGTGTAAGATTGAATCTTTCTGACTACATTTTGACTATTCTTTTTCAACTATATTCAACCCCATTAATCTGGTAAACATATTCAATAATTTTGGCACCTAAAATACAAATATTTTTAATATCACCCTTATCCTGCCAAGGTACAGAGACCCAAAGATGGAGAACACATTCACCATCACTCATTCCCTAACTAGCTCTATATGGAAGTGGACAGATAATGCACTTCTAGTGTAAAACAATAACAGCCAAGTTTTTGTTTCTCAGACTTACTTGTCAAACTACTTGTTCTCTCTAGACTGAAATATTACTGTACACAAATGGCCCCTTTCAACACTTCACATAAATATAGACTAATAACAATAGTTATGTATCCCACAGGCTTTTCATGCAAGACTAAGCAGCAGTGCCTGGTACTGAAGGGTGTATGCCAACCAGCCAGCCATACATGCTCAGGGAACATGTTACTGGGCTCGACTTACTGCAGTGAGAGTGACTGTGGATGTTGCGTCACTAACATTGGTGAGATGATAGTAATATTGCAATTCTTCACAACCTCATTATTTTCAACAATAACAATGACAAAGATGCATTTTTCATCATACAGTCATAACCTGCTTTATGTCATTACAGCTTATGTCAAATTTGCCTTTACAGTGGACCCCCGGTTAACGATATTTTTTCACTCCAGAAGTATGTTCAGGTGCCAGTACTGACGGAATTTGTTCCCATAAGGAATATTGTGAAGTAGATTAGTCCATTTCAGACCCCCAAACATACACGTACAAACGCACTTACATAATTACACTTACATAATTGGTCACATTCGGAGGTAATCGTTATGCGGGGGTCTACTGTACTCCACTTTTCTAGAGTAAATTTCAGTTCAGCGAACGTCCAATGTTACGTTGGACATAATTGATTAAACACAAAAATTAACAATAAAAGATAAAAGAAGCTAAAAGAAAATAATTTAAAATACAATAGAAACACATTAAAAACGTAAAAAAAATTATACATAGTTCCGCCATATTGCTGCCTGGCAGCATTGCTGCTGGTTCTCATTCAAAACAAGGGCAATGCCATATGCATTTTTGCCCATGCCACAATCGTGTCCTTGTTTTGCCTTTCGCTGTTATTTTTGTGATTATTCCTTTACTGTGTCTGTGTTAGTCATGGATCCTAAGAAGGACAGTGCTAGTGATTCCAGGTGTAATGTGGTTACCATGGAAGGTATGTTAAATATGATTAGAAGGTATGAAAAGATGTGGGTGATAGTGTGTGCCTTAGGGTTGCCATAGGTGATTTTTGTCATACTTAAGGCATTTTTAAGGGCAAATCACAAGGTAAATAAAAATTTTTTGTGTTCATTATTCTTTGAAAAATATGACTAAATGTGTTTTTAGTGTTCTTTAAGGTTTAGCAATAGTTGGGTTTTTTGTAAGTTTTTTTTTTTTTTTTTTTTTTTTTTCTCAACAAGTCAACTGTGTTGTCATTTTAAGGCATTTTTAAAGCATTATGTCCGGTTTACGTCAAAAACCAGATTACATCATGGCTCTTGGAACCAGTTAATGATGTAGGGTGGGGTATGACTGTATTGTTTAAGTACCACTTAAAGATTTATAGGTTAATTTTATTTTTAAATTGTAGTTTAAGGACTTGTGTCAATTTCTGTACTACATGCCATTAATAATGTTAAGGTTAAAATTTTCTACATAATGTAAAGAGTTCAAATGATCCATCCCATTAATTTTAATAATAATAATGACTAAAAAAATACAGAATTATTTTATAAATATATTTCAGGTAAAATTTTCCAGTTTTGTCTCTGATGCCCAAAACTGAAAGAAATAATGAAGATAATCACATTGCTTTTGTATATGTATGTATAAATGCATATAGTGTTTATGTACAATATATTATTCACATGGTAGATGTTAATAGACAAAATGTCATAGTTTCATGTCATTTTCACTGATCATTTGATCACCTTTGGCAGACTTATTAACAGCATTAATAAAATATGTTGGATATTCCATTATTCAGTTGCTTTTATTCTAGTTTCTAGATAGAGTATTAATACCATAAATCAGTTACAAGCTATACAACATAAATATAGTCTCCATTTACAAGTGTTTTAACAGATTCTTTAAAGTACGTACTATTGTTCACTGAGTAAGTTTTTTGTAGTATTAAATTATCTTGTCTTTGTTTTTATTCACTGTTGTCTTTTTATTCAGTTACTAAAGTATATCAGAGGAAATCAGCTCTGAATTGCCTTTTGTTTCAAGGGCATTTTTAATGGACCCCCCTTTTGAGTATTTTTCACAGGGTTCCTGGTGCCTCTGAAGCCCCCAGCACTTGAATATAGTAAAAATGGCTCAGGCAGACTTGCCCAGTGTTGTTCAAAGCTTGGGCTACTCATTTTCTAATTTCAAAGCTGAACCACTGCCATGGATTATCTCCCTGCCCTACCCAGTCAATTTTGTTGCTCTATTTCCTGATCTCTTTTCTCCCTTTTGCCTAATCCTGTTTTCAAATTGTCTTTGTCAATATACAGTTCAGTACTAACAAAAAAAAAAAATCAGTATGCAGTAGAGTACTACTAAATAAGTTCTCATTTTGAGTTTAACCCTTCTCCCTTCCATTTTCTCAATATCATTTTTTGGTGAAAAAAAATAGTCCCAACACTTTTGAGTGTGTGTGTGTGGTCTGCCTGGGCCTATTTAAGAGACGTGTCGCCTGTAATACTCAGCAGAGGAGGAGTCACTTGAGGTACTACCTATGGAGCCATGTCTCCTCTTTGCCAGACTTGCTGAGTCAAACCTGAGGAACGGTGAGTGAGCAAACTAAAAGCTAGTATTATTTCATACTGATATTACAATGTCAAAAAATTTTATTCATTGCATGTTGGAATGTGTCTGCTAATTTAGAAATTAATAGTCTTTGTGACAGCAGAAGTCAGCATTGTCACATTCACTCTTTTCTGCAGACTCGACCCCAGCATGACCTCTGAAGCAGGCACAACCAACCCTGGAGCAGTAACAGCGTCCACAGCAGCTCACTACTACAATGACGACACCACTTGACCTACAGCTGCTGGTCTGGCAACATGCTTTTCCACAACATGTATTTCCCCCCATACAACTACTCTCACTTTGATCAACACCATTAAGACTGCTACCACAATAGGTATTAAGCTACGTATACTCTTTTTTCACTATCTGTCCCTGTCCTGTTCATTATTATTATTATTTTTTTTTTTTTTCAACAAGTCGGCCGTCTCCCACCGAGGCAGCAACCACCCAGGGAGGTACTACCGTCCTGCCAAGTGAATGTAAAACAAAAGCCTGTAATTGTTTTACATGATGGTAGGATTGCTGGTGTTTTTTTGTCTGTCTCATAAATATGCAAGATTACAGGTATGTCTTGCTACTTCTACTTACGCTTAGGTCACACTACACATACATGTACACATTTATTTATACACACTCATCTGAGTTTTTCTTTGATTTTATCTTAATAGTTCTTGGTCTTGTTACTTTTCCTTTTATATCCATGGGGAAGTGGAATAAGAATCTTTCCTCCGTAAGCCATGCGTGTTGTAAAAGTCAACTAAAATGCCGGGAACAATGGGCTAGTAACCCCTTTTCCTGTAAAGATTACTAAAAAGAATAAGAAGATATTATTATTATATTCACAAAAAAAGCATGTGGGCCATTCAGTACTGTCTCCATCTATTGTATATACTCAAATATAGGTTGAGGTTCTTAGTTGTTTTTATAACTAGGTGGTCAATTTATTCATGAGTAATAGTATTTCTGAAGAGTTAAAATCTATAAACTTAATTCCTACACTGGAGAGAAAGATTATAGAATAGTAATGCAGGTTTACTGGCATTGCTAGGCAGGTCTTCCTCACAGCCACATGTTCCACTTGGCTATAAATATTGCTAAACTAGTACATATTTTAATTCTTTTATGAAAGCATAGAAACATTAATAGAAAAGCACTTCGGTAGGCCCATAATAGGCAAGTCAAACTCATGCCCAACCATTCCCACTTGTGTAAATGTATTGTTTGTTAATATTTTTGGGTGTCTGGAATGGTTTAATTGGATTTACATTATTTCCTATGGGAAATATTAACAAAACATACATTTTATAGATAATAAAAGTAGTTTTGCATACAGAAAAGGCACTACTAAATTCGAGGGTCCACTGTATTTGTCCAGCATTTGCATTTGTTCCACTCATCTACAACTTTATTGCCAAACCATTCAGCTCTTTATTTGCAGTAAAATCCTACATGTCAAGCTGTTAACATATAACAGTTAAAAATGCTGAAATGGCTAGTTATTACCTTTCTGTACATTTTTTTAATGCCAGCCATCTCTCACTGAGGTAGGGTGATCCAGAAAAGACAAAACATATTCACTGTCATTCAACTGCTGTCTTGCCAGAGGCAAGAAACTAAACTTCTGAATTTCCTTCTTTTTCATTTTAGTAATTTATATGTCTCTCTTTCTCCCTGCATTTTAGTTGCCTTTTTTGATGTGCACTGCTTACAGAGGAAGAATCCTACTCCACTTTCCCTCTTTGTTAATTCTTTGATCTGCCTACCCTCTTCTCAGAAAGTCAAACATTCAAAACAGTCTTGTTATTCTTAACTGAAACTCACTTATAAACTATTTGAAATGCACTAATAGTGTGTGTATACTGAAAGTAAATAGAAGTTTATGAGAGATTTACCTGCCATCCTATGCAACAGAAAAGACCAGTAGTCCTGCCAGAATGCAGGATATTTAGTAGTCTTGTGTGCTACATATTTATACCATTCTTCAGTATACTATTATAAACATCCTGTATTCCCAGTGGTCAACCAGCTTTTCATGTAGGATTGTGATCTTTAATGATATAATGGGCCATGCTGACTAGGGTTCTCATGCCAAGGGTATTTTTGCCAGGAAGACAGAGTATAGCTTCCACATTTCTCAAGCATAGATCCATACACTATATTCCCTATTTAACCTTGCTTGGAAGTTGAACCCACCCCTTGAGCTGCATCCTATTGATTTTAAAACATTTTGGTGACAAGATAGAAAAAATGCAGGGTCCTGTGATTACCTCATTGATTCAGACACATTTTGGCCCTTGATTCTCTAATGACTACTCTCGTATGTCGCTCCATAACCTCTTGGGCCATTTTTGGGCTTGATAATGGATGATGGGATAGAAGGGTAAACTTTAACATTTTTATATGTGTATTTGCTCAATGACTTGGGGATTAATGCTTATTTGTACATCTTTCTTCTTTCAACACACCGGCCATATCCCACCAAGGCAGGGTGGCCCAAAAAGAAAAACGAAAGTTTCTTTTAAATTTACTAATTTATACGGCAGAAGGGGTTACTAGCCCCTTGCTCCCGGCATTTTAGTCGCCTCTTACAACACGCATAGCTTACGAAGGAAGAATTCTGTTCCACTTCCCCATGGAGTTAGTTGTACATGTGGATATAATAATAATAATTTATGCATTCTTGTCCTACTACTTGGGCTCGCAAGGTGGCTGACTAGGTTTACAAGTTGCGTATTTCCAGAAGATCTAAAGAAGCTAACCCCTATTTCTTATTACCTGAAATTTTCCCCTCCCCCATCACCTTGCAATCCAACTGGCATACATAGCTTTTTTTTTATTTAATTGCCCAGCCTCCCTTTTCCCCTCAAAATAAAAATTCATGGATACTATGTAGTTCTTAAATCATTTAAAATAAGACACAATTTGTAGGGAGGAACTTGATCGAGATATTTTGCCTGTATAATAGGCGTCTTCAGATGATACACAGATGAACAGCAATATATTTATACAGGAACAGCAGGTGAGTGGCTGGGCAGTGAGGTCATGGCCTGGGTGGAGTGTGAGATAGGGGCACTGCAGGACTACCAGTCCTTGTGGGCATTGTAGCACTGTTTATATAAAAGAAGTTGGGCTAAAGGTTGACTTAACTGAAATCTTCTTGATTTTTTTGTATAATATTCTGTGTATGCATCAAAGCAAGGTCTAGGCATCTGCATTGTGTTTTGTCTCTTTGATGAGCAGCCAGTCATTTCAGGAAATCAGATATGCAATCTTGTACCCATGTGATGCAGAGATATGCAATCTTGTACCCATGTGATGCAGAGATATGCAATCTTGTACCCATGTGATGCAGAGATATGCAATCTTGTACTCATGTGATGCAGAGATATGCAATCTTGTACCCATGTGATGCAGAGATATGCAATCTTGTACCCATGTGATGCAGAGATATGCAATCTTGTACCCATGTGATGCAGATATGCAATCTTGTACCCATGTGATGCAGAGATATGCAATCTTGTACCCATGTGATGCAGATATACAATCTTGTACCCATGTGATGCAGAGATATACAATCTTGTACCCATGTGATGCAGAGATATGCAATCTTGTACCCATGTGATGCAGGAATTTAGATTCTGCATGCTTAGTTAAGTTCCTGCAGTCTAGTCTTTTGACTGTGAGAGGTCTCCCACATATTTCTGATCACAGCCACTGCACAGAAAAGGTAGACACCTTTGTTATCAAGGTCCAGATGGTTGTTTTTAACCCTGGTCAGGTGTTTGACATGATGGTCACAACAACTATGTTGATTCTGGAGAGAGTGTGATATATCTTGTGGTGTGACCAGTAAGAAGGATGAGTGTTTTATGTTCTTTCCTTCTGGCACAGATTTTGTGTGCTTCATCCCTGCAGTTATAAAAGACGTGTGGAAACTTAAGTATCAGGATGTCTTGCAGAATGTTTTGCTTTTCTCTGAGGCATTCTGGGCTACATGTCATTTAGAAACATAAAAACATACCAATAAATGTACTGTGTTTGATTCTTTGGTTTTAGTGTGAGTAGTAATGTATTGTGTCATTCTTGTTGGTTGGTTTCTGGTACAATTTCAAAATTAAAGTGGCTGTTCTCTGGTGAGAAGTGTCGAGGAAAGGTGGATTGGATGGCTCTCCACTGTTAAAGCTGCATTTTGAGGTCCAATTCGTTTGGGAGCAGAATATTATCCACATAGCAGAGCTATTTGACAGTTTTGAGTGGTGGTAAATCTTTTGGCCTTTGGTGATTCCATATGTAAATTTGCAACTCAGCATTGATCAGCGAGTCCATAGCTGTGCAGAATTTTTATCTGTAAAAGAAATAGCCGAGAAAAACCTAGTTCACAGCTCAGTTTCATGAAACCTTGGCCAAGTACAGGCAGGTCCATGTCCAACCTTTGTGGTGTAGTAAGTATAATGGTTTGGTCAGTAGTGATTGGCAAAGAGAAGTCACATTTAGACTAGCTAACTTCTTTCTGTTGATATCCTTTTTCTTGTTGAGTGAATCTGCAGTGATGGTGTGAGTTGACAACAGAACTGAGTAGTTTGGTCATATATTTAGCCAAAGTGCTAACGGCTGTGTAAGGTGCACTGACTGCAACATTCTAAGGGCCTCACAGGACCTCCAAACTACTTGGTTCTATCAGAAGCTCACATCTTTGCCACACTAGGGATTTACTGAATAAGATAGAGGCCATCAACATCAGGAACAAATGGATAGCCTTGACATGATTTCTCTCTCTCTACCAGTCCCCACCAACCAACCCATTTACTACATTGGAAACTAAGGTCGTACACGGACCTACTTTAACCTTATCAAAACTTTGTGAAGCTGAGCTCTGTATGAACTTTGTTTTTCATTTGGTAATTCCTTTTATAGACAAAAATTCTGCCTGGCCATATGCTCATTGATCAGTACTGTATTGGCAAATCTATATATAGAATCACTGGAGGACAAGAGATTTGCTAATATCATTCCAAAAATGTCACATGTCCTAGTTATATGCATTATCTTCTGTTCATTACTCAAAAAAAAAAAAAAAAAAAAAAAAAAAAAAAAAAAAAGGGACAGCCTCAAAACAGCCTTAACAGTGCAAGACCATCAGATTCACCCTAGAAAAGAAAGCTGATGACATCCTTCCTGTCCTCCTATGTACTTCTCATCAAAAGAGGACAGCCACCTTAATTCCAAAGCATACAGGAAGCCATTCAACATGAAATGGTATGATACATTACTACTAACACTATGACACTGGCATATTCTTACATGCCTAATGACCTGCAGTCCAGAATACCTCAAAAGTGCAACTTTGTATAAGATGTCTACTTGGCACTTAAGTTCCCACACACAATCATCCATAACTCCAGGAGCCAAGCACACAAAATCTTTGCTAAAACCAGGGAACAAAAAAAAAAAAAAACTCATCCTGTGGTGTGGCCTGTGAGAAGGATATCACACTCTTTCCAAGAGCAACATAGGTGTTACAACCATCACATCAAACACCTGACCAAGGTTAAAAAAAAAAAAACCTGCCTGGACCTCACTAATGCAGGTGTCTACATCATAACATGCAGTGGCCGTGATCAGAAATATGTAGGGGGCTTACCACAGCCAAAAGACCAAACTAAAGGAACAATATGCCCGAGTCACATGGGTACAAGACAGCACACTTGATATCCAGGAGTGACACCCAGCTAGTCATCAGAGACAAGACAGACAGACATGCAGATGCCTTGAACTTGCTTTGATGTATACACACAATACTTACACATATAACAGAATCAAGGAGCTTTCAGTTTAACCAAATATTTGGCCCAATTTCTTTATATAAAATTTCATACTGCCATGTTGCCCGCAAGGACTGGTAGTCCTGCAGTACCATCTCTCGTTCAACCCATGCCATGTCCTTGCTGCCCAACTACTCACATGCTGTTCTTGTATAAGTATAATTGTTGTCTGCATCTGTGCAATGACAGAAGCCGGTTCTACAGGCAAAACATCTTGGTAAAGTTCATCTCTCCAAATTGTGTACATCTTTTCCACTTATCTGCCTTGTGCTGGTCACCTCCACAACAGCACAAGACTGCATGATAAAATTACAGTTTGTAGGTTATAAATGAAATACAATTCCTTTTAGAAACTTGTCATTTTTATTTCTGACCAAACTTTGTACTGTTGTAATTAAGATTTGTTCAGGAAGATGCACTAAACCTTCACTTTTTCAGACCATTTTCAAGTCACAACCAAGAGGAAAAAAAACAGATAACTAGAAGACAAGTTGAGAGGAGGGAGTGGTAGAATTAGCAGCAGTGGTAATAGTAATGAGGTAGTTGCAGTAGTGCTATTAGTGGTGGTAGGAATAGTAGTAGTGAAAGAGTAATGATAGCAATACATTAAAAAAAAAAAAGGAACACCATGGGAGACCTACTGGTCCACCCTGGGCAGGACTAGAGTAATCAAATTAAATTACATCTCGAGGCAGTTTAGATCAGTGTAACTCGATACCTGTCCCAAAGAGACAGAGGAGCACTGTAGTAGCTCAGCTGGACCATGCTAAAAGGAAGACTGGGAAAATCAGAAGACAAAAAAGGTAAAAGAAATACATTAGACAAGTCAAGAGGAAAGAATTATTATAATCAAGGGGGAAGCGCTAAACCCATAGGATTATACAGCGTCTGTGGAGGGGGGTGTGGAAGGCATTCAGGCTTAATTCGGGGAACTTTAGCACAGATCCAGTTCCCTTGATCAAGAGCCCCTCACCAGCATCAAAGAACTTTCCTTAAGGGGAAGGAGAGGAGGCAAAGGTCAGGTCAGGCCATGAGTATTTTGAAGATTAGAGCATTTGATGTATTGAAAGACAGTCACCTACAGAAACAAAGTCAGGACCAAGATTCATATTAGGAATGTTGTGTATAAGGATGATTCAACAAGATGGCATCCAAGAAGGCTAGAGAATGGTAGTGTTAGAAGGGACCAATTAACTGGATGGCTGTGATCAACATAACAAAAAAGAGCACTTAGTCTCAGCAAGGTAAGCACTTTTTTTGTGCTCCTTATAAGTGTGTGAGAGAGTGACGAGTTTCACCAAAGTACAGTGGACCCCCGGTTAACGATATTTTTTCACTCCAGAAGTATGTTCAGGTGCCAGTACTGACCGAATTTGTTCCCATAAGAAATATTGTGAAGTAGATTAGTCCATTTCAGACCCCCAAACATACACGTACAAACGCACTTACATAAATACACTTACATAATTGGTCGCATTCGGAGGTAATCGTTATGCGGGGGTCCACTGTATTGTAGAGGACGGGAAGAGGAAATGAAGTAGACACCAGTGTCTACTCCATTTCCTCATTGTCCTGTCCTCTTCAGTAGCAAAGAAGTGCTCGCCTTGTTGACATTAACAGTGCTCTTTTCTGTCATGTACAGTATTAGAGGCAACACCTATCCAATTAATTATTCCTGTTAACATTACCATCTCTATTATTCACAGACACTGTCTTGTTGAAACATCCCATATACACATTTCAAATATGAATCTTAGCCTTGGCTTTGTTCCTGTAGATGCCTGCCTTCCTAAATATTTTGTCAAATGCTCTAATCTTCAGAATATTTGCAACCTGACCTTACTTTTACCTCCTCTCCTTCCCTCTTGAACTTTATGTATTTCCTATGCCTTTCCTGTCTTCTGACTTTCCCAAGTCTTCCTGTTAGCATGGTCCAGTTGGGCTACTGCAGTGCTCCTTTGCCTCTTTGGGACAGATGTATTAGGTTGATCTCCACTGCTTGGAGATGTAATTTACTCTTAGTACTTTATCACTAGTCCTGCTTAGCATGGACCAGTAGATTTCCTGCAGCATTCCTCTTCCTATGTATTACTCCTATTACTCTAACTACTACTATACTATTTCTACCACTAGTATTATCACTGCAACTACATACCTCATGATTACTACTACTGCTGCTTTTGCTAATTCTTCTCCTACTACTACTACTTCCTCCATTCAATCCACCTTCTCTTGTGTTCTCTTGTTTTTTCTCTCCTGGTTGTGACTTGACAGTGATCAAAGATCAAACGTCACAAGCTTCTTCTCCCAAGTGCAGGTTATTTGTGAAGCATTTCAGTAGCTCTGCTGGGTGCATCCACATCAGTCTCAGTTGTAGCAAGCCTGCAAATGCAAGAAGTGATTTATCTGTTAGGCAAGAGTGGTTATAATCAAATAATAAAGCGCTAAACCAACAAGGGTGGTAAAAATGGTAAAGACACAGTTCCATGTTGAAAAAGAAAGGTACTCCAGCAAAAGTGCTTCCTAAGACAACATATTCTTAAGACAAAGAATGAATAAGACAAATAACCCACACATAGGAGAGAGTAGCTCCTTTTTGTTAGTGTGACTTTGTAAATGGGCCAAGTCGGACTGAAATGTCGTCGTAAGCTCCTCTCTCCTACGTGTGGATTATTTGTGTATTGTTCCATTCACAGTGCTGTGCCTTTTTAATAAGACAATATACAGTCTAATGACATCTTGTTGGGCTGTTTCATCCACCAGGGATTTTATCAAAAGTAAACTGAACATGTAGACAGTGGAGAAGCACAAAGTGAAATGTAGTCCTGGGCAGGTGATGTCACCTGTTGTGATGCGACTCAGCCAAGTGGAATCACCAAGCCTTTACATTAAGGTCAGGCCAATACACCATCTGCAATGTTCCTCCAAACAGTTTGAAGTAATGGTAGCATCATGGCCAGTATTTCTGAATTTATGAATGAACTTGATTTCTGTATGATGAAGTTAGTCATGACAGTATATTCCAAACAGCCTGCAGCTGTGTTTGGAAAATACTGTCCTGGATAACTAGTTTGGCATAAGGGAAGTTCGCCAGATGGGTTTTTCTGTTGTGAATAGTACAAGCACTGTGAATAGTACAAGTACTGGCAAGCATTTCTGCATTCATTGATCCTTGTGTTTTAAGTCCCTAGAGGTTTCACCCAAATAAAATAAGTCTTTCACTGCCTCCCACATAGATCTACATCATTGACATCAGTGATGCTCCCTCAAATATGTTGTATGCAGTACACCTGCCCCATGTAGTGCATGATGGGAAAAGAAAACCTTTGACCTTGCATATGGTTTAAAATAATGACTTTTGAGATGTTGTCTAAGGTGGTTTTTATGGCTGTTTCACGGTATCTGTTGATAGAATGGAAGATGTGCTGGTGAAATAGAGATGATTTTGGTTGGTTTCAGAGAGGAAGTAGCTTGAAGTACAGCTCAAAGTGGCAGAAATATTTGATTTTTGGCAGTTATATTTTTCTTGTGGAAGAGAAGGGCACCTAAGTCCTTAGCCCCCCCCCACCCCCCCCACCCCCCATTGTGGGATTTTACTAGGTTTGCTTCAATTATTCGGACAGCCTAAACCATGACCATTCATTCTTGGTTATATTTTATCTAAGAAATAGGATAAAACTTTTATTTTTCTGTGATGAATTCATAACAGTAGGCAAGTGTTATATAAGACAAGCCTGGGATGCAATTAACGAATAGAGGAGAGTTGCCTACAGTGTGTGTTTATTTTGGACTTTGTACCACCACAGGGTATTATGTGGTGGTGCCCTTGGTCACAGTTTCCTTTTAGCTAACTTCTTCATGGTGTTAAGAGGGTATGTTAGCAACCCTGATGCAATATAGGGTATTTTCTCAGTCCTTTTTGTATAGTCAGTGATAAATGATGTATAGGGAAGCTCACAGATTGCAAGAAAAAAAGTTGAGAAAATACTACACAATGCTAGACAAGAGTCCAACCTTAGCAGATACATAATTCTACCTATCAACAACACAAGCAATAACCTCTTCAAATTTTTAACCAAAACCAACATCTGGGTTGCCAGCAAATCCTCCAACACCATAAAGGACTTAGATGAAATCCATGACCAAAGACACCACTATTGGCATCTACCTACCATGTGGAGGTTGTGATACATTTTATTGCGGGTGAAACTTCCAGAGACCTGAATACAGGCATCAACAAACATAAGTACCTGCCAGAGATGACATGAACAACGCTTGTACTACTTACCACAACAGGGAAAGCAAACTTCACCGATGACAAAATAATTATCAAAGAAGCAGACAGGAATCTGCTTTGATTGCCACAATTAACATCAAACAGAAATCAGGTTCTTCCTTAATTTTGAAAATAGTACTGACCAAGCTTATTCTCAGATATGATACTGCTATTACTGTACATAAAACTGTTTGGAGGAGTACTGCAATCAACCTACTGGCGTGAAATAATTACAACAGGTAACGTCAATCACCCAGCATTACTGTACATCTCTCGTCATACTTCCCCACTACTTATATGCTCTGGTTATTTACCTGAGTGAATAGGTAAAGTCCCTGATAGACAAAATGTCTTCCCAATAACATACCATAAGCCTTATATTGCCTTATTCACATACCATACTTGTCAGAATGTTCTACCATCGATACACTTTAAGACAGACACTAAAGTTTGGACATCATTCCAGAGGTCTCTTCAAGGGGGTAAGGGGTTGGATGACCCAAGGAATAGTAGAAAATTCTTCCTTCCTTGGATCTCACCTGATTGCCTTCCCTTCCCCAGATGCTGAATAATTCTGATAATCGTCAACCACTCGGTATTGTATACAATACTGAGACGTTGATGAGCAAAACATATGTGCAACACTATGCAGTTATGAAAGTGTTAATTTCTAATGAACATTATTAGTACTGTTATGATCCCCTAGAGGCTATATAGTTCCTGGGAAATAAGGTGGGTGATCAAGTTGGGTCAAGGGCAGGGAGGGTAATTCTATTTCCTTTGATCAAGGGCCTTTCACAAGAATAAAGACAACCTCTTGAAAGAATTATTTGTAATCTTTCAAATAAATATTATAAGTAACAAAATGTTTGAATATAATTGTCCCTTTCAACACAGAGGCTTTTTTATTTTTATGTATCACTCACTGGGGGTTTATCAGGTGCATGGATGACAAAACCAGTTGTATTTTAAATTATGTGGGAGGCAAGGAGCTGCTGACTCAGGTCAGGTGCTGTTACAAGTGAAATCGAGTGATGTCAGATGGCACTTGACCTCCTCCAGAAATACCTAACTTGATCCAACAGCACCTTACCTGATCTGGCAGCTATTTACCTTCCCCATATACTGTATATACCACTTTTCATGTCAGTCATGCACTTTATAAAGCCAGCAGTTGATAAAATGTACTAATAAAGGTTTTTGTGCTGCAGTTTTTTTTTACCATCTGTCAGCTCAAAGCTAGTCATTTATAATTATAAAAATGTATAAAATACAGAGCAGCATTAAGTGTGGTAACTATTGACACTGTACTACATTTTGTAACTTATTATCTATTTTATACATTTGCAACATCTGATAAATTGCCTCAAACCGTTATCACACGCTTTTCTGAATTTATAAGAGAAACAAAATGTTCATACTTACGATTGGTTCCAAAGGTTCTTCTACAACTGTGGCTTGGTCTAAGGCCAAAATTCCTTGTTGACTATGGTAAACAACCAGGTTGCCGCTGGTAACTGGCTGATCATGCACATGTAGTGAAGTGTTTCAGTTTCCTTTTGAAAATTTCCCTCTTTGTTGCAGTAATATTTTTTACACCTGGTGATAGAAGGTTAGTGTCATGAACCATGATGTTGACAGTGTTCTATAATTGTTTCAATGGTACCAGGTACAGGGTTTATTCAAAATTTCCTCATCTCTCTCATCCTAATAAGTTAGTAAGGTAGTGTGCATATTCAGTACCTAACTCTCAAGTATTTTTCATGTATACACCTACCATCCAACTCACGACCTGCTCGATGTATTACCACTCGACTTACGACCATGTTTTATATGCCAAATTTCTGGGAAATAAACAACTGTTTGTGTTGTATAAAGTGTTTATCCTAAACCTTACAGTATAAAATACAGTACTAACAGCATAAAAAGTAAAGTAAAAAGTGAAATACCAAAATAAAACAATAAAATAAAATCATTACAAAAATGTGAAGTTGATATTCATTAGTAAGGTTCGACTTAGGTCCATTTTGACTTACGACCAGTTGGTCGGAACCAAGCTTGGTCGTAAGTCGGATGGTACTTGTAGTATATATTATCAGTTGCTGGATCATTACTCTTAGTTATTACAGCGAGTTCATAATCATAACTATGATCCATTTATTATAATAATTGACATTTAGGCAACAAGTATTCCAAATAATAAAACATTTGTCTTTCATAAGTTATTTTTATCTGTGTATTTATGAGATAAAAATAAACTTGCAATAGGCACATCAATCTTGCAAGATATGTACTGTCAGACGTTGCTCTGTACAAAACTTTCCATACTTAAAAGGCAAAATACAGCCATGGCAACATCAAAGATGGCTTATAGCATTTTAGTTATGAAAGTATGGCTATGTCTTAAGAGAGCTTCTTTATACCACTAAGAGAAATACCAAAACATTTTCATGATACACCTACCATCCGACTTACGACCGTGTTTTTTATGCCAAATTTCTGGGAAATAAACAACTATTTGTGTTGTACACAGTGTTTATCCTAAACCTTACAGTATAAAATACAGTACTAACAGCATAAAAAGTAAAATAAAATATGAAATACCAAAATAAAACAATAAAATAAAGCCATTACAAAAATGTTTTTGTTGATATTCAGTAGTAAAGTTCGACTTACGACCATTTCGACTTACGACCGGTTTCTCGGAACCGAACTCGGCCGTAAGTCGGATGGTAGGTGTACTTTTACACTTAAAATATGTACAGGCACACCTAGTAAATATGGTGCTCGCTTCAGAGTGTTTTGCTAATACAGCACTGACTCGCACTCAGTCTTGTCTATAACATCTGTGCACTGCGTATCTGTCATATTCTGGCAATTTTAAAACTTTATACTTGTGCTGTTGTTCTGTGTATTAACGAACACGCAGAATTTTCTTCCGGCGTTGTCACCACTCTAACGCCCTTACTTTATTTTCCCTCCTTGCTGATGGACCCACCTTTAACACAGACTCCCTCTTCGACTTTTTGATAGCAACTGATTTATTACGCAAACTTTGATAATCCTTTCTTTAGCACTCCTCACAGCCCCTCCTAACTTTACCTTTATTGTCATCTCCACCCTTATTTATCCTTAGATCCTGCATCAATTCCTACCCTGCAGTGCTGTATAACCCTGGTAGGGTTAGCGCTTCCTTTTGATTATAATAATATTGTTATTATTGTAATTATTTCAGCACAATAGCCCCTAAGGTTAATGCTGGTGAAGAGAGGCGTCACAAGACTTACTTAAATCAAAAGCTAGAAATGATCAAGCTTAGTGAGACAGGCTTGTGGAATGCCCAGATAGATATTAGATCAAATTAACTCCAATATCTACTTAAACCTTCCTTTGATAATCACTTCTCCTAAAAAGCTCACCATGAGGCGGGCTAAAACAACATGGGTTCAATCCTCCAGCTAGTCGCAGTGTTGTTATTGATTCTTCTAAAATGTTCATTTGTCAGTCACGATAAGCAAAAGATGAAAATATTTTAAGGTTAGCAATACAATACTGTATTATTTTTACTTTTGCATCTTCTTTAGCCCTAGCATTATTGCACACTTAATAAATGATAGTGTAAACATGTTTTTAGGCTTTTATATGCACTGGCAAGTGGAAAAAAAGGAGGCTGTGATTTGCCTTATGGTGATATTTGCTTTTCAGCAAATATCCCAGACTACAGATTCTCTGCATTACTGTATATTCACATCACACATTTCCCTCAAACATGACATCTCCACTGCCTCCAGCCTTCTTGTTGCAACATACACCACCCATGCCTCACACCCATACAAGAGCATTGGTGTAACTATACTCTCATACATTCTCCTATTTGCTTTCATGGATAAAGTTCTTTGTCTCCACAGACTCCTCAGTGGACCACTCGCCTTTTTCCCCTCGTCATTTCTATGATTCACCTCATCTTTCATGGATCCATCTGCTGACACGTCCACTCCTAAATATCTGAATACATTCACCTCCTCCATACTCTCTCCCTCCAATCTGATATCCAATCATCCGTTACCTAATTTTTTTTTATCCTCATCACCTTACCCTTTCCTACATTCACTTTTAATTTCCTTCTTGTACATACCCTTCCAAACTCATCAACCAACCTCTGCAACTTTTCTTCAGAAAGTCTGGTAAAAATTAGTATACAATAGTTACTGTTACCAAACTCCAATATTCTTGACCCATGAATTATAATTACATGTTGCCAAGCAGTTATCTTACTGACATCATTTTACATTTTCATGTTTACTAGGTTTAGTTCTGCTCAAAATATCACAAGCTCTCTCATGTAAATACTGTAGTCCAACATTATGTCATCAAAACTAGTGATTCTTTCAATATACATACAGTACATTATAACTCATGAGTTTTTAGTACATAGTTTCATTTGATTTGTCAATATTTCTTGCAAGATAAAAAAAATATCAAAAACTCAAAAATAAAATAAACTACATTACCACAAATTCAGATTTCAAAACTCCTGGTTTTTATGCCAAGCTTTCTGGAAGCAAAATTTCTTAAATCCACATTCTTAAGTTTCCAATACATCAGTGGGTCATCTGGTGCTGCTTGCCTCCCTTCAACCACATGTATGTTGCTACTCAGTCTGCAGACAGGGTGAATTCCGTCGTCGATGTAACATTCTGCGATATCTGCGACATCTAATAGGACTGTGACATTTAATAGGTCAGTACCTACTAGTTGGAAAATAGTAATGGTTCTAACAAGAGGATTATTATTATCATTATATTCATAAGGAAGTGCTAAACCCATAGGGATTATAATATTAAAACATTTATGGGGAGTGCTAAAACCCACAGGGTCATACAGTGCTTAGTGAATTGGGAGGCACTCTGGTTTGATTCAAGGAAGGGAAGGGCAGGTCCAATTCCTTAGATCAAGAGACCTCCTCACCAGCATCAAGTAACCTCCCTTGAGGGGTAGAGGTCAAAGCACCTTGGAAATGGGAAGTCTTTCAGTTTGGTCCAAGAAAAGGGAGAGTAGCTCCAGTTCTTTGGACCAAGAGTTCTTCACCAGCATCTAGGCATAGGACATGGGGTCAAGGAGTCTAAAGGTCTTAATATTTTTGAGTACTCACCTTTTCACATGTGATTGCAGGGGTCGAGTCTTAGCACCTGGCTCCACTTCTGAACTTGCCGTTTGCCAGATTCACTCTCAGCTTCGTGGGCCCTACTGTACTTATTCTTAAAACTATATATGAAGTCTGCCTCCACCACTTCATCAAGGTCATTCCACTTCCCAGCCATCCTGAGACTGGAAAAATACATCTTAACATCCCTATGAGTCATGTGTTTTAGCTTCCAGATGTGCCACTGAGTACCTCTTTGTTACCTCTCAAACAACCTGTTCCTGTCTGCCCTATCAATTTCTGAGTATTTTGTATGTTGTTACCATATTCTTTCCCTGGTCCTTCTGTCCTCCAGGGCCATTACATTCAATTCCTTTAGCTGCTTCTCATAGTTCATATTCTTTAGCTCTGGAACTAATATTGCTTCATACTTCTTTACTTTCTTCATTTTTTTAACATGCTTTGTCAGGTGGGGGTTCCATACTGGTGCTGCATACTCCAGATGAGACCTGTCTAGTTGCATTAAAGCATTCAGTTGATGCGAGCCTCTTGTAATATGGAAAGGCATCTATGCTTACTCCCAGTTGTCCTTGCTACTTTTGTCCAAATATTTGCAGCCGTATTAATTCTGGTTCCTCCCGCAGTCATCATAACCTTCCATTTCCTGGGACTCCCAATTCACAATCATCTACTTATCTGACCACCCTCAGCTTGTCCAGATAATTTTGCAGCTCTATTTCCCATCCATATCTATCCATTTTCAGTTTTACATGTTGTTCACACACTATTACAACCACTGTCTCTATACTATCCTATCTCATACTACCACTTGTATCACTTCCCCACTCTGAATCTCTTCCATCTATCTTCTCTTCCTTATCTCTAATCTACCCCCCCTCTCTTATCCCTCTGATCGTATTTCCCATTGTCCTTTTCCCTCTTCTCATCTTTCTTTCCAAAATATTTTGCATTCCAATATTCAACCCACCTCTCCACCTCCCTCCCACCCTCCCTCCCACCACCCCCACCCTCCTCTCTCCACCCACCACCCCCCCACCTCTCCTCTCCCTCCCACCTCCACCCACCCCAAACCCTCCCTCCCACCCACTCCCACCCACCCTCCCCCCCTCTCCCTCCCTCCCTCTCCTCTCCCTCTCCCCCCTCCCTCTTCCTCTCTCTCCTTCTCGTCTCTCTACTGTAACTTTGTCATTATTTTTTTTTATTATCACACTGGCCGATTCCCACCAAGGCAGGGTGGCCCGAAAAAGAAAAACTTTCACCATCATTCACTCCATCACTGTCTTGCCAGAAGGGTGCTTTACACTACAGTTTTTAAACTGCAACATTAACACCCCTCCTTCAGAGTGCAGGCACTGTACTTCCCATCTCCAGGACTCAAGTCGGCCTGCCAGTTTCCCTGAACCCCTTCATAAATGTTACTTTGCTCACACTCCAACAGCACGTCAAGTATTAAAAACCATTTGTCATAGAATTCCAAAAGGCTGGTAAGACAAGACTTGCTATCTCTGAACCCATGCTGGTTATTGTTTATGAAACCAGTTCAAGTACTCTACCATTCTCTTAACGACTGTTTTCTCCATTACCTTGCATGATATACATACATGTCAATGAAACTGGCCTGTAGTTCAATGCCTCCTGCCTATCTCCTTTCTTAAATACAGGTACTACATTTGCTGTCTTCCAGATCTCTGACCTGTGTTCACTGACTTGCCGTAGATCATTGTTAGCAGTTCGGACAGTGCTGCTGCTCTCTCTCGCAGAATCCATGGTGAGACAGTCAGGACCCACCGCTTTTGATGTATTCAGCTCCATCAAAAATTCTTTTACCTCTACCCCTGTTGTATGTATGATGTCCAGTACCTGCTTATGTACTCTTTCCCTGAGCTTTCTGGAACTGCTCATTTTCACTGAGAAGCCCTCTAAATCAATTGTTTACCACTTTACAGGCTTCCTTGTCATTTTCTGTATGTTCTCCTCCCTCAGTCCAATTGCTCATGGTGTTTTAACTTTTGTTTTTCTTCTTATCTGGCTGTGAAGCAGTTTTGGTTCAGGCTTGGCCTTGGTTACTATGTCATTCACAAAATGTCATTGAGCCTCTCTTCACCCTTGCATGTTCATTTCCAGCTAATCTGCTCGCCTCTCTGTTCTCATCTGTCCTTTGCTTCCTATAGTTTTTTTCATGCTCTTATACTTCTCTCTTTTGCCTCTGAATCTGGTTACACTAAAGGCTCTCTGTCTATTCTGTTTCTTGTTCTTCATCTAGATATGAAGTTGTCCTCTGCCTCCTGGCACTTCCTGACCATGTACTCCATTTTATATAAATGGTTTCCACAATAAAGATGCCAAAGTAATGCACAAGTATCTTTCATCATACACCATCTCATTCACTGTTATTCCCTCCAGTTTCCTTTCCCACTGCACTGCATTCAAGAATTCTCTAATTTCTGCAACACTCCTGCTTCTAAAGTCTGGCTTCTTGCACCCTCCACTTTCCAATCTTCCTTCTATGTTTAGTCAAGCATGAAAATGCTGCTGCAGTGCATTAATACAAACTTCAGTAAACCTTTGATTTAAACTTAAAAGCAACCATTTTTGTAAACAGAACTATGCAAAGAAAACTGAAATCAAAGGAAAACTTATGGTTTTATAGTCTGTAGAGGTTAATAAAAGAGAGATCGCTCAATGGCAATATTAGCATAAATGTGTGCAATAAATAATACAGTCTCTCCTCACTTAACGACGGAGTTCCATTCCTAAGACCACATAGGTAAACAAATTCGTCGCTAAGTGAGGAGCATACTATAATGGTAGTGGGTTTCTGTCAACTATCTCTGATATTGTTTTAATGTCGCCTTTGCACCATTTATAACATCACTGTGCACTACACTACTTTGTTAGGTTAATGTGTGTGTTTCGAGGGTTTTAGTACTTGAAATGTACACAGAACTCCATAGTCCCAATTGCAGCAGTCACTTAATTTTTTTCTTAATTCTACTGATTCTAACACCATATACACAGAAATTTTATATTACAATTGTTTCAGGGTGTGATAATCTTCATAACATGGAAGTCACATTTTTTGAGGTCATCCTGGAGTATACTTGGAGCCTAGGTTAAAAAGTACATAGCGTGTTTTTAGCTGAATTTCACCATTAGTATCATGAAATTGTAATAAATTTGGAAAAAATAAGGCATATTCCTGGTAGCTCCATACACTGGTTACCAGCAGGGAAGCTGGTGGTGACACATTACTAAGGCAGTGTTACCTATGAACTGTGTAGACCCACATGAGCCTACATTTTTTTCCAGGTGTGAGGTAGTGGTAGGCAAACTAAACAGGCAAGTAACGACTTAAAATAGTAGCAAGCAGCATATTCAATGCCTTACAGCAAACGTCAAAGTCCGGTCCCCTGACATAGTGTACGTCAGACACAGTTTAAGGATCAAGAAACTTTGGAAATACGAGACAAAATCCCCTGGATCAATCAAGCCAGAAACAATGGATAGCATGTTATTAACAGAATTGATAATTGTTACAATCGCAGCACAGCATTTCTATCCAACACAATCGCCATTACTAAACACCCACTACTCCTCATTAATCCATTAAATAAAGGGGTCACTTGTAATTTCAAAGCATACTAAGCCTTGTGCTTTGAAAGGATAGAAATACTTTAGAATTAAAAAAATGACGAATTAATTGCTAATTGGTTAACTCATCATTCTGTGTAGGTGTAGCTGTGACACAGACCACCATGTTTGAATAATTGAGCAAATATTGAATATTTGAAGCTTGTCTAGACTTAAGTAGTCTAAGTATTAGGGTAAGTCTGCCCGAAATGCCTCGGCATGATAGTGGCTTTCTTTGTACCAATCAGATTATGAAATGTAAACACACATTGAAACTTTTGCAAAGAAATAAACTTTTTTGTTTTGTTTGTTTTTTGTTGTTTGTTTGACACAGGTTAAGGACCTGATATCAGAGCTACTGTATAGGTAATGTTATATATGTGGAGTGAGTAATACTATATGGTAAAAATTGGATTACGTATGTTCATCTGACTTTTTATTTTTCAAGGTGACAGGTATATCTTCAAATTTGAACTTTGGCTAAAATAGTAAAAGTAGTAATTTACAATGGTTCAGGTGCACAGATGTTATGGGTACATTAAAAAAGTATGCACCATACATTATACGTATATTGAACACAGGACAACCAAGCAAAGTCAATGTGAATACAGCCTCTCCTCACTTAGCGGCGTACTCGTTTACCAACACCTCGGACTTACGATGGGCTCTCTGACCAGTATTCATACCTAAATAATGTATATTAGAGCTGATTTCCTCTATTCTGTTTATTTCAATATGCAGTACACTACTCGATAAACATTTAAAAATACAGTATGCCAGAAATGTTATAAATGGTTCAAAGGTGACATTAAAACAATATCAATGATGGTTGACACAAACTCACTACCATTATAGTATGCTCCTCACTTAGCGACGAATTTTTTTAACAACATGGTCTCAGGAACAAAACTCCATCGTTAAGTGAGGAGAGGCTGTACTGCACTTCTTACCTTAAATTCTTGTTGTTGATGCATGATGGGTTTGACATCAATGGAGAAGACTGCTGTGGCACTTCTGGGCCAAATTAGATGGTTGGGGGTTCTTAGGATGAGGTGAATGGATGAGGTTTTTGGAATGAGATAGATGGTTGGGATTCTTGGGATGAGGTAGATAATTGGGGGCTCCTGGGTCAAGGTGGATGGTTGTACTTCCTGGATTGAGGTCAACACAGAGTTGTAACTGGAGCCCTCAGGTATTGTCAGGCATGTCTGCTGTTTCATTCTTCAATACTTTATACGGCTGACAATAAGGCATCATTGCTTGGTCCAGAGCCCACCTCACACCAGTGCTTCTAGATGTGGCAAAGTCCTTTCAGTAAAAATAAAAAAAAAGTCTGAATCTTTACCATTAGTATGCAGCACCTTATGTATGTATAAACTGCTTAGGTTTAGATTCTTCTTCCCTGTTTTCTTGTCACCTGCTTCCCTTCTATCTGGGAATTGAACTCTGCAGTTCATAATCATCATCATGTCAGAGTTCTTGCATATCATTTGGCTGCATACCTTTACATCCTTCACTTGGCACACTATGCCAAAACAATTATTTCCTGGACCTGACTCTCTACCGAGAAAAAACCTGTGACAGTATTCACTACACATGGTCATGAATTTCTCCAGCATATATTTATGGTTGATTGGGGCACCTCATCCCATGTAACTTTCATGTAAAGTACTGCATCTGCAATTTCCAGGTATGTGGGAGAAATAGACTGGCCTGTATGCATAGCCAACTCACGTAAAGTACTGGTACCTCTTAGCTGGTCTCCGCAGAAAACAGCATCCCAGACGAGCCAGTATATTCCATGGGGTTTACTACAACACACAATCCCCACCACAAATAGATGGCTGCCTAGGAGAGGAAACAAAGGTAAAAAAATGTGTGATTAGGCAATTAAATATAAATACAAAGGAAAGTGTGGTTGTGTCTAATCTTTTAGACATCAGTTTCTTAATGTGCTTCTTCTTCCGTCTTCTCAATAAATCCTATACAATAAGCCCTCAATATAACAGACTAATGGAGGGGAGATTGTGCAAGTGACCGACAAATCAGAATAATGTTAAAAGAAGAAGTAAAATAAAGCACTTAAGCACTCTACTGTGTAATTAATATAGCACTGTACTCACAGTTTACACAGATACCACAATAAATTTAAAAACTAAACAAGTTAAATGAAAAGTTCACTTAAGTGCATTCTGCCAATTATTGCAAAAGGCCATTATATTGAGGTTTTACTGTACTCTGACCAGTGGAAAAATCAGAATAACAATTTAAATTCTAATTTATTTCACATTTATAGAAAATATATAAAACTATATACAAAGATTTGTACATTCACTTTACAAAATCAAATTATTTGGTAAAAAATACAAAAAAGGGGCATTCTTAATTTGAGAACTGAATAGAACTAGTGCATTGCTCCGAGTCTAGTTGCACAACAGTAAGCTATATCAACCAAGTCTTCCCTTCTATGGTGTTTTCATGCAAGGAATGGAGTTGCAGAGAAACACATTGATGCCTTTTTAGTTGTGTAATAATTTTATGAATTTATTAGCCATACTGTATGGTTTACCAAAACATTCTATTCAGTCACATAAAAAAAAAAATATACAATATATACAGTATATATTTTTTACATACTGTAATTAATTTACACAACTCAACAACTTCTTGTCACTGATATTTTTGGCACTCCAAAACAAAGAAACGTCAAAATAATGATTGGTATGAACAAAAAATATAGCTACAATCCAGAACAGAAATACATACATATAGGGAGATCTTTCGTATACATTACAGTTCTAGCATTTTGAATGCACACTCAAGTAAGTTTGTACATTTTGACAAGAAAACCTATTGGCATATTTGTCCATACAGGGTGACGTCGGACTGCAGCACCCTTTGCTGTCTCTCACTAATAATCAGTGCCAAAACTAAAGAAAAAAAAGGAACGTCTTAAATTGCACCAGACGCCCACACACTAGCTTTGGAACTTATAAAAAAGTGCCGTATCACCCTTGACAATTACCTGGGCATATTAAGTGTCTTTGCAGGACCCAAGGAAAGAACATCACTGACACCCCATTGCTGCAATGTCATATGACCATTTCTCAAATTTTCTAGTGTTAGTATAGGTACACCAACTACACCACCAGCACCTCGGTTTTGAAGGTTTGTCAGTGGAAGGAATGAACGGATTCCAAGGGCCGCCATGCGCTGCACATTAACTGGATTACGCAAGTCTACTAAAGGAATAGCCACATCTCCAGCAGAAAGATGCAACTGGTGAAATTGTTGATAATGATGTTGTTGCCCTTTTTGTGTAGAAAACCCTGCAGTGCAAAGGTGACACTTAAAAGGCATACGGGACTGTTGCTGTTGCTGATGCACACGACTATGTTCTGATAACAAAGCTGCTGTTGGAAAAGAACGTTCACATTGGTGGCACTTGTGCCGCGTGCCCTGAGAACCTGTAGAGGGGACATCCTGAGTTAAATCTACAGTAGGAGGACGAGGGGGACGTTCTAAAGTACTGTTTGAAACACCTCGAGTTGGAGGTGCCTGTGGTACAGCAAATCCATCTCTATCTCGTTCTCTTCCACCCCCTTCTCGTTCTCTTTGTGTTGGTGGGTGTACAGATATGGCCGATGATAAATTCAATTCTTGTGCGGTAGGTAATCGGCGGTCATCTCGTCCTCCAGTACCATCCTGACGTTCACCAGCAGCTGGTGTAACAGTAATACCTCGTGATGCTAGGAGGTTGGCAACAGCCCCAGCCTCTGGGCCACTTCTTTCACCACGTGATGATGCATCTTTACCACCAGATGCTCGTACACTTAGTGTAATGGAATCACTGAGGTTAATAGTGGACTCTGTGGTTGCTGGACCACTTGAGCCACGGTGCTGACTGCCAGGAGCTGCAGACCCACCCTGCACATTGGATATCACTGGTAGTCCATCACTACGGTTTGCCACTGCTATAATTTGACATTCGTTATCCTTCTGACGCGACGGAACGTTGATGTCCTCTCGACGAGCAGATTTGCTAGGCGAATGACCAGCAGCACCTAACAGCTGTCTTTTCCCAGCAGCACTCTGTTGTTGAGGGGAAGCCTGTCTTTGGCCGGGATACATTGTTTGATGCATACGTTGTAAAGGAGGCATCATCCCACCACGTCCTCCTGGTGCTGGCATAAGTGGTGGTGGAAGGATTGATGAGGTTGGAGGGCGGCCAGGTCCTCTTGACGGCTGTAGGTGTGCTGCCTGATGAAGAGGCGGACGACCTACGTGGCCCATGAGAGGCGGTCGTCCTCTCACCCGTGGTGGAGGACTAGGACGATATGGCATTGCAACACTCGGGGGCAACGGAGCACGCAGTGGACCCGCTATGCTCGTGTTTGCCATACTTGTGCCTGCCAGAGCACCATAGCTTCCAGCAGCACTGTATGCTGCATTCTGCGACCACTGATTGCCATACCTAGATATCATGCTGCCAACTGTGGCTTGACTAGCGGTTGTTGTTGCTATCATATGAGCACTAGTCGCTGGAGCCATGAGGTTATTTGCTATTGTGAGTCGAGGCACTCCAGCCTGCTGATCACCGCTTTGAGGTGAAAGCTGTTGTGACTGCTGAAGCGGTGATGTAGCAGGTGGCGTTGGACCTTTGTGAAGTGATGGTGAAGTTGACTGTTGAGTAGGACTGGTGACAGGACTGGTAGCTAATGCTCTAAAAGATGTGTCTGAGGGTGGTGGTGTAGGCTGCCCACCAGAGGATGTGGGTGTGCCAGAGTTAGAACCTCGAGAACTAAGGTGAGAAGGAGTGGCAGGCCCTCCACTATGAGGTGAGGGGCCTCCACTATGTGGTGAGCCATCCACCTGCCCAGACTGTGAGCCTGACTGTGAGCCTGGCTGTGAGCCTGGTTGAGAGTCTGGCTGTGAATCTTGTGATGACTGACCACTATTATTTAAGTATTCAAGTTCTGATAACAAGTCACTTGCAACACCAGAAGCTTGCTGCTGCTGCTGTTGCTGCTGCTGCTGTTCCTGTGGTGGTGAAAGCTCTGACTGATCTTCCTGTTGTTCTTGAGATTGCTCTTCATTACTGTCCTGGCTCTGGACACTGAAAGAGTCATTAAGACACAGTTGTTCGAAGCTACCCTGGCGATCATTCTTCTCTGGGGATTCCTGACCCAACACTGCTTGACTAAATAACCCATCTTCTCCATCACCCTCACTTTCCCCACCATTAACAGGATGACTGGAGGACTCCTTTTCTGGGGGGGTATCAGCTGAAGAGTAGTCAGGATCAGCTGCTCCCTCTGTTCCACCTGCCCAAGCACTGCTCTCACTTGCACTCTCTGCAGCTGTTGCTCCTGCCATTGCAGCAGCTATTCGTGATCCAGACTCGTATTCACTGAACCAATCACTGGTAGGGAATGATTCAAACTGGGGTTGATAAGTTGAAGGCGGAGCTTCACTTGACCCAGCGTTACCAAATCCGAGCTCTTGTTCACCAAAGCCGGCGTTAAAACTACCACTGCTGTTTTCAGCTTGGTCAGCACTACCAGAGGCTTCCTGATAATTTCCCTGCGTTTCCTTTTGTTGTGATGAAGCAGCCTCTTCCTCTTTCTCTTGGTCTTGTTCCTGCTGCTCAGAATCGTCTTGCTGAGAATCCTGCTCCTCCTGCTCGTAATCCTGCTCCCTGCCACTATCCAAGTCGTCATGCCCAGACGGTAGATTCTGTTCTACTTGGTCCTCAGTGTCCCTTTGTTCTGAGGGTGATCCACTGGCTTCACGGTCTCCTTCACTGTCACCTCCACTTTCTTCTTTCTCCTCAGGAACCCTACTCTCTTCTGTACCATCCGCCACCTCTGGCTCTCGAGCTTCAGCTTCCAGTCTGTGTTGTTCCTGAAAACTGTTGTGGTTCTCACTCATGCCCTCGTTATTAACAATTTGTACCTCTCTTCGCTTACGTCCACGACCTCGACCCACTTTGGAAATTTTGAGCTTCAGCTTGATACTTGACCGCCTCCTCTTTCTACCAGGCTCCACCTTGGCCCGCTTCAGCTCTGCTGCTGTTAGGCGTCTTAGTCGCACTTTTAAGGTTTTTTGACGAACGTGGCCCAAATGATGGGCCTCAAATTCTTTTTCACTAGCAAACTGATTTATCCTACAATGAATACACCATAAATCTTCCTTTTGCCGTTCTTTGCAAGATTCATTACCTTTAGAAACAAACTCGGTTTCTTTTTTAGGGAGTTGTGCTTCCCCAGTTTGCAACTGAGGTACTAAAGGTGTTATTTGTCTCGTAACTGGATGCTGAGTTCTTGCTGAAGCAGTTGGATCACCTACCACATGGCAACTGCTGAAATGATGGGCAAGGAGTGTTTGACTAGGAAAAATAACTGGACATAAACGGCAAGAGTACGTAAGCACGTGGGCATGGAAGAGTGCCAGGTGGTCACGAAGGAGTGCCACATCCTGGAATGTTGCTCCGCACTCCCAGCATTGACCACTTTCCCCAGCTTGTTGTGCACCTACAGGGTACTGCTGCTGAGGCTCAGGAGCAGTGTACGAGCTCTGACTGAAATACTGATGCTGTTGAGGGTAGTATGCTTGCTGCTGCTGATATACCTGTTGATTGTAGTATGACTCGTGGTGGTACTGGTACTGCTGGTACTGGTACTGTGGGTAGTAGCTCTGCTGATACTGTTCACTTAATGCATATGACCAGTGATTCACTGCACCGTTTCTTGTCAGATCACCTGAAACCGAAAAAAATTCTCTGAGTTGTAAAATTCATGAGCATAAAGTAAAGCTTACTGACTTCTTTAAGAAGGAGACACTTGTTCTTGAAATTATATTGATAAAGCCACTTGATGGCAAAACATCTACAATAAAAATACCCAGATGTTGCATGTGTCTAATCCTTCAATAAATTTTATCTACATGTATTAGCTACTATTAGTCATGTGATCCTCTGCATTTTTTTTTTTTATCACACTGGCCGATTCCCACCAAGGCAGGGTGGCCCGAAAAAGAAAAACTTTCACCATCATTCACTCCATCACTGTCTTGCCAGAAGGGTGCTTTACACTACAGTTTTTAAACTGCAACATTAACACCCCTCCTTCAGAGTGCAGGCACTGTACCTCCCATCTCCAGGACTCAAGTCCGGCCTGCCGGTTTCCCTGAACCCCTTCATAAATGTTACTTTGCTCACACTCCAACAGCACGTCAAGTATTAAAAACCATTTGTCTCCATTCACTCCTATCAAACACGCTCACGCATACCTGCTGGAAGTCCAAGCCCCTCGCACACAAAACCTCCTTTACCCCCTCTCTCCAACCTTTCCTAGGCCGACCCCTACCCCGCCTTCCTTCCACTACAGACTGATACACTCTTGAAGTCATTCTGTTTCGCTCCATTCTCTCTACATGTCCGAACCACCTCAACAACCCTTCCTCAGCCCTCTGGACAACAGTTTTGGTAATCCCGCACCTCCTCCTAACTTCCAAACTACGAATTCTCTGCATTATATTCACACCACACATTGCCCTCAGACATGACATCTCCACTGCCTCCAGCCTTCTCCTCGCTGCAACATTCATCACCCATGCTTCACACCCATATAAGAGCGTTGGTAAAACTATACTCTCATACATTCCCCTCTTTGCCTCCAAGGACAAAGTTCTTTGTCTCCACAGACTCCTAAGTGCACCACTCACTTTTTTCCCCTCATCAATTCTATGATTCACCTCATCTTTCATAGACCCATCCGCTGACACATCCACTCCCAAATATCTGAATACATTCACCTCCTCCATACTCTCTCCCTCCAATCTGATATTCAATCTTTCATCACCTAATCTTTTTGTTATCCTCATAACCTTACTCTTTCCTGTATTCACCTTTAATTTTCTTCTTTTGCACACCCTACCAAATTCATCCACCAATCTCTGCAACTTCTTTTCAGAATCTCCCAAGAGCACAGTGTCATCAGCAAAGAGCAGCTGTGACAACTCCCACTTTGTGTGTGATTCTTTATCTTTTAACTCCACGCCTCTTGGCAAGACCCTCGCATTTACTTCTCTTACAACCCCATCTATAAATATATTAAACAACCACGGTGACATCACACATCCTTGTCTAAGGCCTACTTTTACTGGGAAATAATTTCCCTCTTTCCTACATACTCTAACTTGAGCCTCACTATCCTCGTAAAAACTCTTCACTGCTTTCAGTAACCTACCTCCTACACCATACACTTGCAACATCTGCCACATTGCCCCCCTATCCACCCTGTCATACGCCTTTTCCAAATCCATAAATGCCACAAAGACCTCTTTAGCCTTATCTAAATACTGTTCACTTATATGTTTCACTGTAAACACCTGGTCCACACACCCCCCTACCTTTCCTAAAGCCTCCTTGTTCATCTGCTATCCTATCCTCTACTATGCTATCCTCTGCATATTTTCATGATAAATTTTAGTTTAAGATGTTCAATTAAGTTGCTTCTGCCGAAGAGATAGCTATATGTTGTGAGAAATATCTCAGGGTATCCCACTAAAGTATTCCTCATGTCATGCAGTTGGGAAAACTAACAAAAATATACATTTACCAAGAAAGAACACGCATGTGTGTGTGTGTGTGTGTGTACTCACCTAGTTGTACTCACCTAGTTGAGGTTGCGGGGGTCGAGTCCAAGCTCCTGGCCCCGCCTCTTCACTGATTGCTACTAGGTCACTCTCCCTGAGCCGTGAGCTTTATCATAACTCTGCTTAAAGCTATGTATGGATCCTGCCTCCACTACATCACTTCCCAAACTATTCCACTTACTGACTACTCTGTGGCTGAAGAAATACTTCCTAACATCCCTGTGATTCATGTGTGTGTGTGTGTGTGTGTGTGTGTGTGTGTATGAGCTCTGGACAATTAGTGCTTTTCTGCTGGGTCCTGAGGGGATAGAGTGCAGAAAATATGCATGTGAACCTGCAGAGTGCAAATACACATATTGAAAACACAAAGGGAATATCAATTAATTTCTGAAGAGAAAAATAAAATATAGTGTTTAGTGTAGAGCAGAGCTAAGTTTCAGCCAGTGTGTTCCCATAACTGTTACCAAGGTGGCATATACAGTAGCTATCAGTGATGAAAAGTAAATGTAGAACAGACAAAGGAAGTCTAAGATCAATGCTCAGCACACAAAAGTGGGACAAAACTAATACATATAAGTTGGAAAGTACTAGAAAGTAAGAGAAAACTAGGACAAGTCTCAGAGGAGAAACATTAGAAACTAGGCTTTAACATTACAGACGATGCAACATCCCTCCAATGAAAAGCAGGGGCGCCACTAGCACGATAAGAGACAACACAATAAATGTGAGGGAGCCCTAGACTGTTCAACTGGCTCCCATAATACATAAGGGGGATTACCAATAGACCCCTGGCTGTCTTCAAGAAGGCGCTGGACAGGCACCTAAAGTCAGTACCTGACCAGCCAGGCTGTGGTTTGTATGTCGGGTTGCGTGCGGCCAACTGTAACAGCCTAGTTGATCAGGCCCTGATCCACCATGAGGCCTGGTCACAGACTGGGCTGCAGGAGCATTGACCCCCAAAACCCTCTCCAGGTATACACAGTGCTTTGGGTTATCATTATATAGCAAGTGGCTGTTTACCCACATGTGATGAAAAAGTTCGGCTGAGAATTATATTGTCCACAGAGTGAGATACCCAAATAACAGAAAATACCTTGAAAATTTAATCGAGAAGAAAAGTTCAGAGAGAGACATGCATGGAAGAGGTGCCTACAATTGACTGAACCATCATCATACAGTGAGTGACAAAGGTATTGATAAATAGCGAGTCTCCAATAGTGATTTTAAATTTTGGAGATTACAACAATGTTGTAAACAATCCAGTGCATAGTGTATGACAGATGGTGAAATATATGGAGGATAATCACTAGCAAGCTATTGCCAGATAGTTCAGTTTCCACTTATCTGAGACCAACAGATTTAAGAGTAAATATCAATGGAAATAGCAGAATAAATAACGATAGTACATGTGATCAGTTAATGTGAGGCTATGGAAGGTCACAGTGAAGTGAATACGTATATTTAAAAGATTATGGGGATGTGGTATTTGTCCCTTCATTTCAACGTACAAGGTGTAAAGATTAAGAGAAAATGAAAAGTCTCAGCAACCTGACCTGAAGGTACAGGATCTGTGAGGAAACTGAACCAGGTCCCTGATCAACCAGACTGTGATGGATATATGGGTCAGTAGGCAGCAACAGCCTGGTTGACCAGGCAAGCACCAGATGAGTCTGATCCAAGGCCAGGCTCTGGGAGAAGAAAAACTCTTGAAACTCATCAAAGGTATACCAAAGGTATATCTAACGTAATCCGTCATAACCTGCCATAATAGAACCTAACTTACTCCATTACCGGCAGTAATAAAACTGGCAAATCTTCGTTTATATTTTCTCTACTAGTGACCAGATGCAATGACTAACTCATATACTAACCAATGACTGGTGCTGATGCAGCATTTGGGGAATAATAAAGGTAATATTTTTGTTAATATTTCTCAAAATAACAATTTGCAAAAGAAATAAAAATAACCATTTATTGCATGGTGTAGATATGCCAAGTTTTGTAAAATACACAATACTGCCTAAATTCAACACAATTCCTGATCAGCCTGGCTGAAGTGCTTGCACTGGAAAAGATGCTGCTACCTCTAATAACCTGCCTGTTTAAGCCATCAACCAGAAAGCCTGGTCTGGGACAATAAATAAGTACACTAAGTACTGTACATTATAATAAAGGTACAGTTGTGCAAAATGTATTTCCTTACTTGACAGATAATAATACATATTCAAATTAAGCACTAAACTGCCGAGAATCACACAGCTTATTTGACACAGCATAAAACTATGTACAGTACAAGAACATTACTAATAAATGTGAAAAACATCCCAAACAAGAGGCAGTATCAATGTGACTAAAGGGGGAAAATTTATAAATGCCAAAAATGTAAAACAATGAATGACATAGGTGAAAGTGTATCAGTAAAGTTGATCTTGCAATTTAATGTGAAGCGTGTCCAAATTTAGATTACCATAATTTTCCGCAACCAAGACATGCTAAGTGGAGATTCGCAGTTTCGTTTGATGTACACGATATGTTAAACGAGGATTCACCCAGCCCAAATCTGCAGCACCAACGAGACTAAATTGTTATCACGAAAGATAACAGGAGTTGGCCAATTTTAGATGTCCAGCATTTGGCAGACAGAAGATCAAGCCTTTGCCACTCCTCTGTTGAGTGACCCACACAGGTTTAGCACTTAATGAAACTCTGCAATTTCTAATAAAAAGAAAAAAACCCTATGACTGTATATGAATAACTGTACCTAACAGACATAACAAAATTTAACACTCATGGAAAACTATGGTTAATACTGTACCAAGTTTAGGAGATCTATTCTGAGCTTAGCAATAACTTTACATGTAACTCATCAAATATGAAATGGGTTATGCATTGAGGATGGCTATATTTTTTGCTTATGCAAAGGATCTATTCATCTGTATGAGAAAAAAAGGGTATTAAACCTAACTTAACCCAGATTTAGAGTCAAACTCTAGGTTAGGTTAAGTTGCATTACATTTCCTTTTGGGTAACCAAACATTGATAATTCAACCCATAGGCTCAAAGTATAACTGTTCTTATTGTATAAACTACTTAGTATTGGAGA